CTGCAGCTCCCGCTTGCCGTCCGGAGGCCTCGGCCTGGGTCTCACCCTTCACTGTGCATCTGCCTCCCCGCGGGTAGGGCCCCTCCACCAGGACCCGGGCCCCAGAGCGCCTGACTCCGGAGGTCTGCAGTGAGGCCCCAGAATTTCCGCTTCTTTATTTCCTTTTTAATCTCCATCTGAGGACAATTTTTCCATTGCTTTCTAGAGAGAGTGGAAGGGATGGAGGGGAGAGAGGGGAGCATTGACATGAGATAGACACATCTATTGGTTGCCCCCCACACCCACCTGCCCCCACCAGGGCTGGGGAACCTGCAGGTGAGGTATGTGTCTGTGGCCTGAAATCGCACCCACAACACGTTGGTCCACAGGGCGATGCTCTAACCACTGAAACACCCGGCCAGGACTCCATTTCTCTTGGTTGTTGTTGCTCTGTGTGTGTGAGTGTGTGTGTGTTGAGTTTCCATTTCCAACAAGCTCCCAGGAGTTGTGACACTAATGGTCTGGGGCTCACACTTGGAGAACCACTGTGTTAAAGCTTCCTGGGGAGCTGTCAGATTTTCCCCCTTTTTGATCTGGACTCCCCCAGAATCTTCTTTAAAAAATTTTTTTTTAATTGAGTGCGGAGAGGAAGGGAGAGGGAGATAGAAACTGCTGAGCCAGCTCAGCCAGGTTCGGGAGCCCGAGAGGGGGCGGTGAAGGATGGAGAAAAGACCGACGAGAGAAGAGAGCTGGGTCTGGGTGGGACGCCGTCCCCTCTGACGGAGAGCTAGCGACAGCGCCACGGCCTGCAATCCGGGTCCTTATCTTATAGCAGATTCCACGAGGCACAGTGAGGGCGTGGTCACAACGTTCTCCGGGATTCGAATCCACTCAGTTACAGGCACCTGGTCACGCTTTGTTCCTGCCCCTCCCGCAGCCCACATCACTCAGCCACGTGCCCACCGGCTCGGACCATCAGGCCAAGCTCACAACCACAGCCTTGGGCTGTCATGGTGCCGGGAGGGCTTTGCCACGGGAGGACCGAGCCCTCTCATCAGTCCGAGGCTTGAACCTGTCCAATCGCTGTAGCCGCTCTCCACAGAAACATCAGTGATGAGAGAGAATCATTGATCGGCTGCCCCCTGCACGCCCCACACTGGGGATGGAGGCCACAGCCTGGGCATGTGCTCTGACTGGGAATCGAACCCCGACCTCCCAGTTCATAGGTCCATGCTCAACCCCTGAGCCTCGCCGGCTGGGCTCCCCTGGAACCTTCTGATCACCTTGTTCATGAGAGAGACACTATGAGAAAGGCAGGTGGGGGAGCCCCCTCGCTCCCCAGGGGAGAGGC